ATTGAAATCATTTAGACAATACTTAAAAAATATGAAGAAAAGGATCCAAAAATCCCTCACAACCTATAACTTGGATAATCTCTTTGCAAAAAAAAAAAAAAAAAAAAACAAAACAAAAAAGTGGAGCTGGGTTTGACGGAACCCAACTTAGGTTCCACCGAACCCAGCAGACACAGAGGAAGAAGAGGAAGAAAGAAAAAGAAAAAAAGAAAAGAAGAAGATGATCGAAAGAGGGGAAGAAGATGGATCAAGAAAGGGAGATGGGTAAATTTGTAATTTTTTATTTTTTTATTAAGGCAAAATCGATTTATGAGTTGGTGATAAGTTGGCGATGACGTATTTTAAAAAAAAATTCTACATCAACGCTTTTTTAAATTGTTTTTGCCATGTCATCAAAAAAATTATAAAAAATGTCATTAACGGTCTAAATTGATAAAAGGACTAAAAGTATGCATTTCTTAGAGTTGAGGGATCAAAAAAGTGCAAAAAATTGTTGAGAGATCAAAATTGTGCATTTCTAAAGTTGAGGGACCAAATTTAGCATTTAACCTTAAAACAATAAAATATTTTCCATTAATTGATACCCTGTCCATTTCTTGGGTCTGCCCACCTTCCGTCCATCCTCAATGTATAGTGCTTCAGCCCGTCTTCCAATTCCGAATACTGATACTCTCTCTTCCCAGTCCCACTCCTCACTTTCCCAATTCCTCTATTTTGCTGGGTTTATCAGAAATTTTAACTGATAAACCATAGCAGCATTACCCCGTTTTCCTTCTTATTAGAACCGGATTTTCCTGGGTTTGGGGGTGAAGGAAAGGGAGTCCCTGGATTTTGTAATATAGAGGGCAGATCTATTTCTCTCTGTTTTTGTTGATATATTGAACAAACCAGAGTGATTCTGCATTTGGGTATTCTTCTAATACTGTGAAATATATATATGGGAAAGTTTGTCAGACTAACTGCATTTACTCTCCTTCTGCTTCTATGTTTACCCTCTGCTTTTGCGGGTCATGATTATGCCCAGGCTCTGAGTAAGAGCATTCTGTTCTTTGAAGCTCCGAGATCTCGTTACCTCCCACATAACCAGAGAGTCACATGGAGAGCTAATTCTGGGTTGAATAACGGCGAGGTTAGTGGGGTAAGTTAAGGCTCCACTGTCTCTTCTCTGCTCTCCTCTTGAGTTGTTGAAATTTTACTACTTTTTGCTAAATTGTGGAATTATGAAAGTAAAATTGTTCATGGAATTCTGCAGGTGGATCTGGTTCGGGGTTACTATGATGCAGAACGCTCCCCTCAAGCGCTCGGCAGGCACCAGAACGCTCAGAAACAAGAGTGAGCAGCTGAGCGAAGCTTTCCGGCCACCCACCAGCAGCAGCACCAGCTCAGCTCAGCGGATGTGGATGATTCTTCGGCCAATATCGACCTTTCCCTCCGCCTGTGAAGCAACGC